CCCCAAAACCCCAAAACCCCAAAACCCCTTAATCAATAACATTTTTGAAAAATAATGGAGATAACTCGAGAAAACTTTAGCACGGAGCTGTTTGAATTAACTGTCAAAGATGCTGATTTCGTCGCCTTTGACTGTGAATTCAGCGGTCTGACTCTCAATCCAAAGGATAAGAGACACAAATACGATTCTACAGAGGATATTTACTTAAAAATGAAAGATTTGTGCACTTCATTCAATGCTTTTCAGATAGGTATCTGAGTGTTTAAGTGGAAGGATGGGAAATACTTGGCATATCCTTTTAATTTCTATCTATACCCTTCCTCTCTGACCCAAAACCACACCTTACAGTTCCAGGCGAGTAGCGTTGAGTTCTTGACTGAGAACAATATGGACTGGACCAAGGTATTTAAGCAGGGTATTCATTACTACCCTCGACAGAAGAAAGAGGAACTTAAAGAAAATTTAGCAAAAATAGTGGAGCAATGTACTGATGAAAATGGCACTTTTCTGGGCTTCAACAGGGTAAGTCTTCCCTCCTACCCAATAACTTTACTAATTACTCTGTAGAGGATCTATGACTACATGACTAGGCTCGGCAGTAAGTCCGAAGAAGACTTGAAGGAGATTGTTGAAAGAGTTAAGGAATTTTTGGAGAAGCCTTTTAAAGATAAAGAATTCATTGAGGTTCAAGCAAATAGGAATCGAGTATGCTGGCAAGCCTGCAGAAGAGAGATTTATAAATTATGCAGTAAGCAATGACTAATGTGCCTGTAATAACAGTTTAGATCCTATTAGCAATGTGAAAGTTTCACCATCAAAAGATGACTCTTTAAGGATCACCAAGTTCACTCCTGAAGAAAAAAAAGAGATTCCTGATAAGACATCCAAGGAAGAAGTCAAAGATGTGACTGAAAAATTAGAGTCCCTGGACATTAAGGAAGAAGAGAAGGTTGACATGGAACAACTTTTTGAGAAAGAATATGGATTTACACAGATAGTTGATATCCTAATCGAGGCAAAGCTCCCAATTATTGGACATAATATGATTTACGACATAATGTACCTCTACCGTCAGTGTATCGGAGACCTTCCTGAAACATATAACGAGTTCTGCAAGACATGGAGGGAATGTTTCCCTATGACATATGACACAAAACTGCTGTCATCTTATTGCTACCCGATCAAAAAGACTTGGCTCGGACATGCCTACAGACAGTGCTTGGAGAGTGATCTCCTGAAAGGAAATCTGCATTTCGAGTTTGACACAGGATTTGAGAGATATAACGATGAGACACAAGAGCATGAAGCTGCATACGATGCTTATATGACTGGAGTCCTCTTTGCATCAGCTGCCAAATTCAAAGAGATTCTTGACGAGACTGGTGAAAAACTTAACCACACTAAAGAGTTCCAGGAGTTAATGAAGGAAAAAGAGGACAAGAAAGTTGACAAATATGAGCACAGGAAGAAAATTAATCAACTCAAAAATGAAATAATGATCAGTGTCAGAGAAGAAGCAAAGAACAAGAAAATCGAGACTTATGCTCTTGTCGAGCACGAGAACAAAGCAGTGGTTATCACTGAAAAATAACAGGGTGTTCTACTTTGGAACCAATAAAGATGAAATATCAAAAGCGAAATCCTTATTACATAAGACTGAAAATGTTATTTGGATCAAACTGTTAAATAAAGATCTTACCATGAATGACATATTTGAAGGATGCAAGTACCTTGCTGACGTCCACATCCAAAGAGACGGCGAAGATGCCTATTTCGTTGACTTCCAGGTAATATATGAGAAGAAAAAGAAAATTAGAGATATGATTCTCGCGTTGGAAGAGAAATTCGGAGATTCTGCAAAGATCACTGACTACAAGTCAGCAGAGAGGTATAGAGCAATCTTCTAAATTCAATCAGCTCAAAGGATTAAGGGGTTTTGGGGTTTTGGGGTTTTGGGGG